CGAAAGAGAAACGCGTGACGCGTGCAAAACGTGAGTTAGAAAGAGAAGCACCCCGTTGCCTAGCAACCCAGGTACGATATCACGTATGCCATCGGCGCACACACCCCTGCCATATTCCTGCGCCCCTCACTACTGGGGCCTCCTCTTTACCTTGTCAGTAGTGCGCTTTATATGTTCAATCAACTTTAGCCCGTTCTTTTCCTCGACGTATTTTCTTAGCCTACCTTCTATCTGTCAGTGGTGCGACTAATAAGTTAAATCATATTTAGATCGTTCCTTTCTTCGACGTATTTTCCCAGCCTACCTTCCAGCAGTCATTGTAGTAGCTTTCCAAGTGAAGTCAGCTTACACAGATGTCTATATCTGACTTCTTTATCGATTTCTTTAATCAGCGCTTTCACGATTTCATTTGGTATTTCATCTCGTCCTGGTGCCTTGCCTGTTTCCAAGTGCGCTTCAGCTTCTTCCAGCTCACACAAGGAGAAATCTGGTCCAGAGCTTCCTCAAATTTCCATTCGGTGTCTGCCTGTGAGATTTGGCTTCATCATGGCTGTCGTGTATGCTTGACTCCACACGTTTTTCTTTATGGCTAAGGAGTACTTTTCTCCATACAACCCCTTCGCACTATGCAAGACCCAGACATGGCCAAGCTTCGAATACGAATCACATGGAGTGCTGTTGTACCAACTATACTGTCTATACTCGACGAGGATTAGAGAAGGACTATTCGACTGATCAATGACACTCCTATGTTGGATGGTCTCGGCGAGCTTACTCTCGTCTACCGCTAAGTCAACGGGTTTCGTTCCTCAAGGTTCTCCTCCATGATGCCCCTGCGGGCTGAGCCTGTCAGACGGACTTGCCCGGCTTCTGCCTCTAATGCCGGAACCGCAGGCTTGCCAAATCGTCGCAAATCGTCACAAACGCAAACATGCGGATAGCGCGTTTGACTTGGTTTGCATGGGTTTGCAAGCGCTTGTAGCCGATCCGATCGGGTGCCGGTTTTTTGGTCGCGAATCAAAAGGTGTTTGCCACAAGCGTTTGTGATACATCCTTACGTTTGTGATAGGTACTATTTTTGAAACTAAATATCAATTTCATTAAAACAAATACCATTTACCTGGTACGATTCATATGAATATTTAACATCCACCACCTTCTTGGTCGTACTTTTCGTTTTATCTGACTTTTTTTTGGTTTTATAATAAAAATAGCTTAAAGCCAAATGCTACGGCAGACACAAGTTCGACGTCCGTCATGTTTGCCTGTTCCCTTTTCAGTGACGCACCCGTAAACGTGTGGACGGCGACGTTTGCTTCTTCAAAAAAAAGGCAAGCGTTTGTGGGGGTTTGGAGTTTGCGGAAAATGGCAAGCGTGCGGTTCCACCATAAAAACGCCTCTTATTTGGTCTCATAGATCGACTGATCTTTCGCCCATTGAACTGAGTATATTTTGCTATTAATCATTGTATTACTTTTATTGGCGTTTATCGCGAACTCATTTCCATAATACTATCTAACATTAGGAATCACCTAATATTATACAGGGTGACTTCGAAGTTGAGTCATTTATTTTAACAATGAGTAGATCTGATCAAAAGAAATGTTTTTTTCCTTTACCATTTTTCTGGTAAAATTAAAGTAACAAAGTTATAGCCCTTTGGAAGTTTGAGTACCGCCCTGTCTCAATAATAATATCATGTACTCGTGTTTGGCAACAACGGATATAATCCACCTTATCGGTTCATCGCATGGGAAACAAAAAAGCGAAAGAATTTGGAACGATGTTTTTATTTCATTCAGTTCAGTTATACATACAGTCAGTGTCAGTCGCGTGTGAATAGTGTCTGTTGCGTGGCTCAAACGAAATAAAAAATGGCACATGTTTATGCGGATCGGTTTCCCAATCGAGTGCGACCAACCCCTCGTGCCTTTGTTAATGTAGTACAACGGGCTCGTGAATCAGGTGACTTAAGACCTCACAGGGCACCTCACGATCAAATACAGGTCCGCACTGAAATACTTGTTGCGAGGATACTTTATAAAACAAGGTAAATTTTTTTTTTTATTTTTTTTATTTTTACACACATATTTTGGTTTATCTTCCTTCTACAATCATTATCTGAAAATTAATGACTCAACTACTGAGTGACAAAAAAAGGTAAACACCTACGTATTTTGCCATGAACAACAAGTGATAAAATGGTCCCGTTTTTCTGATAAGTCTTTGTGGTGGCTGCGTGTATTGTTTGGTGTTAAAGAACCATTCAGTCTTCGTACAGTTAAATGTTAAATTTCGTGTAGCTTATTGAAAAACCGTTTCGATTTGAAATGCCGGGTTGCGTGGAACCGGTCTATCGAAAAGAAAAGTTTCTAGTAGGACCAACAGATTTACGCAGTATACTGCAGTCTGAACGAGCGTGGACTCCAGAAGGCCATGGACAGCGAGCGAGGGGTGCTGGACGTCGAAGACGGACCACAGAGCGACAAAACCGCCGGTTAAGACTCCTAGCTCTGAGAGGCAAATTTAGTAGCACTCGAGCCACCGCTAATCAGTGGTTTGAAAAGCATGTAAGGATGCCTTGTATGCGTACGGTATATGGCCGAATACGACAGGTTGGCCTTTTTTCTTATCGCGCATATTGGGCGCTATCTCTCACATCTGCATCGGCGTAACCATTTGCTCTGGGAGATGCACGATGGTCGGGCAAGAGTGAGAAGGCGACGTCTTAAAAGATGTGACCCATCATTTGACAGAGCGCGTCACGCTCACCACAGCGTGGGAGTAATGGTATGCGGTGCTATTGATCATAGTAGCAGATCTCTACTAATTCTCAGACCGCATGTTGCCAGAGCATCGTTAGGGGCTTCGTACACAAGGCTACGCAAATCTTCGATACTCAACGATTTTAGTCTCCAAGCGATTACCGCCATACAAATCCATTGAGGTTCATACACGAGTCGCGTCGCCGACATTCGTCTCGCGACTCGCATCGTGCCAGTCGTGTGCTACCTGCCGGACAAGATCTTCGCTACATAAGTCGCAGCGATTTCCAGGATGGCGGAGCAGTTATTAAATATTAAATTTGTTTCGGAGGTGGAGAAGTATCCCTGTTTATACAACTATAAAATAAAAGAATATTCTAGAAAGGATATTACAGAAAAAGCGTCGGTATCAGTAGGAAGGGCCGTTAATTTAACAGGTTGGTAGATTTTTATAGTATTAAACATAGTAATTTAGTAAAGAAAAAACACATTTGGCAGTATGTTTTTTATTAAGATTTTTTTACGCATATACACGATATTTTGTGTACATTTTATTATGATAGCCGATGTTGTAACCCGCCGGATTACCCATGTTATTGTGATCTAGGATCATGATTAGCTACTAACTAGTAATGTACCAGATATCCGTATCCACTAAACCATAAACAGAACACAGGGAATATCTGATATTAAATTAATAGTTAAAATTAGAAAATAGAACTTGCTACAGTACTTAATGGTGTGTGGTCCAGTAAAATATTTATTTGCATTTACAGAATTTTGTTATTTAAACAGACTAACAAAATTTATACAATACAATTATATTGCCATGGGAGTGCTACCTGAGGTTTAAGAAGGTAGTTAGCTAAATAGTTTCTTTGGAGAAGATTGCGCATTCAATTGAATTTTCTGAGGTTGTATTATACCATGTGTACTATTGGAATTTTCTTCATACGCACGATATGGAAGCCCTTCTCTTTTCCTAACATAGTTGTGTAAAATACATACTGATTTTACAATATTATTAATCTTTATATTGTCGTGGCATCTTATCGCAGTGCTTAGAACCTGAAATTTTTCCGTCATCATCCCAAAAGCGCATTCTACAGTCTTCCTTCCTCTACTCAATCTATAGTTAAATATTCTTTTCGTATTATCAAGTACTCTTTGTGGATATGGCCGTAGCAAATAATGCAATAGCGGAAACGCTTCATCTCCGACAAAGTAAAATGGAAACTTGTAGTTGTTGTCATCATTGGGTAATCGTAAAGGAGTAGGAAGATCAAGATTGTCCCCTTCAATGAAATGTTTGATTGCTGAAGCACGAAATATACCACCATCACTGTTCCTGCCAGCAAATCCTGTTTCGATGTATGTAAAGAGGCCATCAGCGTCACTGCATGCCATGAGAACAATTGAATGATACGACTTGTAGTTGAAGTTAAGCGATCCTGAGTTTGGTAGCTTTTCTATTCTTATATGCTTTCCATCTAGAGCACCCAAACAATTAGGCAAATTCCATAGTAAATGAAAACGTTGTGCTATTATTTTCCATTGATTTTTATCCGGTGTTGGCATATAAATATCTTTCAAGGCATCCCATATGATTGCTGTTATTTCTCCAATTATTCTTGATACTGTAGAGTCTCCTCGAGCAAAATATAAGGAAATCGATGTGAATGTTGCGCCAGTTGCCAAATACCTAAAAAAAGTTGTATTAATACTTATTTATTTAACATCTTGTACATAGTATTACAACGGTGAACTTAATGTTAACAGTTGCTTGACATATTTTTATTACTTTCAGGACTGCAAGCGAAAGACAAATGGAAAAACCTCCGTTCTGTATTCGTACGAAACTTAAAACCTGCTGCTAGTGGATCATCAACAAAAAAGAAATACTATTTGACAGATTCAATGCAGTTTGCTCTTCCTTATATAAAATCTGCTGCAATTCCATCTGGCAGTTTGTCTAATCCGATTAATCAAGACAATGAATCACAAGCATCTACACCGACCGCACCACCACCGCCCTCGGCATCACCACCGCCCTCCGTATCACCATCGCCCTCGCCTTCACCACCGCCCCCGACATCACCTACTGCTTCCTCCAGTTAACAAACTGAACGTACTCCAACCCCGTTATCTGTCTCAACTTAGCGTAGTTCCTCTCAGCGTCATAATAATAGAACGAATGAGAATGATGAACTCTTCAATGAATATTTGAAAACGAAAATGAGCAAGCCAAATGTCAATGACGAGTCGACAAAGAATAACGCCAACAAGATGTTTTTGTTAAGTTTGCTGCCAGACTTAAATTCTATGACATCCACACAAATAAGATCATTCAAACGTCAAGTTATAGATGTGATAGATAACATACTGCATGTACCTACCACTTCATCTAAGCAAACGCCGGCGCCGGCCTTAGTTCATATACCAAATACTTCAAGTATATTATCTTCGCAGACATCTCCGTTTGTAGGACCCGAAATACAACACCCAAGTAAATCGTCCTCGCAGGTAACAACTGACATAGAATTACCAATAGAAACCAATAATGATATAATCGAATATACAACCGACGATGGAGTAAATGCAGCTACATATATTCAACTACTCCAAAATACTGTAGGTGAAGTAAATTATACTCAGAATTGATGACGCAGTTAAGATTTCGTGCAGACTTCTGAGGGGTTCCGTTCCGTTATATATTATTAAAATTCAATCTTACTTTGAAATGTTAATATTTAATAAAACAAATTGAAATCATACCTGATTGTTATTAGAATCCTTTCCTCTGCGCTCACACACTCTCTCATGTGTGTATCTCTCTGGTGTATATGTGGAACAAGTAACTCCACTAAATGTGTATAACTCTCTTTGGACATCCTGTACAATGATAAGAATTTCGCATCTGTTTGTTGTAATTCTTTTGCAGCTACAAACAGTCTGCACTTTATGTTTCTCTTTATATACGGATGAACCCAGTATCTTCTGTTACGACGATTTCTTTGTTTCCGATAAAAATAGTACAAAATTATAGTTTCATCATCACTTGTTTCAGACATTTTCGTAAAAGTGTGATCTGTTTAGCCTATAGTGGCTGAATAGGCAATTCGCGTCTTGCGATTCAATGTCGTGTGTACGGACCGTGTGCTACTCGATACTCGCGACTGGATACTAATGTAGTATACAACATTAGTATCGGAGACTTGCGTAGCCTTGTGTACGAAGCCCCTTAGCCCACCACGATGGCCTGACCTATTTCCAATTGAACATAACCGGGACATGCTAGGTCGTAGGCTGATGAATTTGCAACATCCTCCACAGACTTAAGCAGCTCTTACTCACGAAGTTGCAGTAGCTTGGAATGAGGTACTCCAACAGGATATCGACCACCTTATCAGCACGATGTCCAGGCGTGTGAATGAGTGTATAGAAGATCATGGATCCTCAACACGTTTTTGAACCAGCTCCTGCATTCAGTTGACGAATCAAGCTGAAAATTTAATCTTTCTACTTGTAACGAACGCTGGACATAATTATACACCAAGAATTATTGAAATCGGATAAACATACACGTAGGTGTCTACCTTTTTTGTCACTCAGTATATGATGTGTTATACATATTTATATTTTTACCAGTGTTAGCTCTCTATATCTTGAATTCATCATTAGAATATCGGACTCAAATCTGACTCATACTTGTTGCTTCCATTAAATCTCGTTGAGCAAGAAACATTTGAATCTGCCAGAGTCAATACAAGAATGATGATGATTTACCATGACCACACAGCATTGACGTTGAGCGTTGAACTTGAAGAGATTCCTATATGAATATAAGTTGTGCGGCAGCGTGTAACAGGTGGTCCATTATTACGTCAGCAGATTGGATGTTATCAGATATCTGCATATTAAAATTTTCTACCAATACTAAATAACGTCTATTCAATCCAGGGCATATTTTGCTGCTGCGCTACATATCATATTTAAGAAAAGTTGAGCACCTGACACTGCATGGAAAATACTTGAGTGTCAGGGAGTATGAAATGTGACCTTAAGATGATACTTAGGTTTGATCACTGTTTATGGAATTTCTGAAATCTTAAGGCATTGCATTACAACAGTGACGTTGTAATGAAATCTACCTTCATGAGGTAATCCACATAACATTTATACGAACTCACATGAACAGAATATTTTTTGCATTTTTCGAATTACCGTCGGCAGGGCATGAGAAAATTTTTGGACCACTGAAACAAGGTTGAAGATCTCTCGAGCATGCAGCCATAAGGCAAAAAAATATTGCAATAAGTTTTTCTAAAGCATGTTTCGAAAGAATTCCGTAAATAGTGTAATAGTTCACGTGATCGTAGGCAAATTCTGTAATATGTTATGGCATTATTTAGATAAGCCACCATAGAAAATTTTCATCGATTTATATGGTAATGTTCAATAAAAACCATTATGTGTTGAGTAACGTTGAAAGCATTTGTTGCTAAAAAAATTCCACACATAACGGTGGTGTGAGCTTTGTTCGTTAAAAAAAGTGTACATCTCATCAATGACTGAATCGAAGTACGCCAGCCGAAAAAAATTTTTGACTTCTGAATTTTTATTACTCCTTAAAATCATAAAAAAACTTGAGAATAGAATGAATTATCAAAGTAGTTTAACTGACAATGCCAATTTATAAATAGCTCGTTTTTCATGACTTTGGTGTTTCATATGTCACGTTTTATTTGTTTGTTCATCTAGCTATCGATAAAATGTTTATTTTTCGCACAGTGTAGTCCCAGTAACCGCTACACAGATTTCCAAAAAAATTGAGAGAGATCTGATGGGGTGAGTTCTAGTACTTATATTTCTTAAAGCAACCGGCATGTCGGACTTTTATGCACTAATAAAATCATTCTGGGTAATAGTTTTAAAATTCCTTAGACTGAATAGCTTTTATAACTTCTTTCAAAATTAACCTCGATGATGCGTTTCAACGTTTACGACAAAAAGTGTGATGGTTGCAAATATAACCTACCACGATAATGCTATCAACATTTCATCATGAATTGAAATCTTTTTATACAGGGTGTTTTAGTTTATTGTTGCATAACTTTAAGATTCGATAGAACTTTTAAAATTAATGCATAAGTCTATATAAACATGGGTGAAAAATGCGTGGCTTCCGAAATACAGGGTGTTTAAATTTACTTTCTAAAATAGTTTTTTTTTAATTATTTCGAACAATATTTGATATATAACAGTGAAAATTGGTACAAAAGGGTTTTTGGTACGACAAAACAAACCATGGACATAGTTTTACTGTAGCCGCTAGAGGGCGCTCTCTACTGTACCCGTAGTGTATTAAAATGACCGAAAATTTTTTCTTAGTGCAATTTTTTGCTTTTTGAATAAAAAAACTAATTCTTCGCACTTTTCAACATAAAAAAGCTCTCTTGTGAGTTTTCGTTATAGTTAGCCGTTTTTGAGATATTTCGATTTTTAAGGTTCGATGCATTTTTAATTATTTATGGGAAAATAATATTTTTTTTTTACATTTTCGATTTGGGCATTACAAGTAATTAAGATAATCGTTTAGATTGTATTTTTAAACACAGCAATAAGTCCTAAAAAAACAGAATATTAATTTGTTTAATTTTCCAATATTATTTTTAACAATTAAATTAATTATTTACAACTAAAATGCTATTGGGTAGTTAGGACAAACATAAAAAATCTAAAGTAGTTGCTCGAAATGTAAACCCAATTGTTCAATACACAATTCAAATCTACGAATGATCGAACGTGGTATAGCATTATTCAAATAAGGCCTTATTCCATCACATGCATTCCTGATTCTATCTATCAGCATATCTCTTGTGGTTATGGGAGTCTGGTACACTTTTTCTTTTAGAAATCCTCACACAATGAAATCTAATGGATTTAGGTCAGGGGATCGTGAAGGCCAGGCGACTCGTCCTCCACGGCCGATCCATCTTTCTGGATAATTTTCGTCCAGCCAGTTTCTAACTATTCTCGAATAATGAGCTGGACAACCATCAAGCTGGAACCAGGCCAATCTTCTTAAATCTAACATAACATCATCCCACATATTTGCATGGTCAGCCTTAAAAATACCAAGAAGGTCGCAGGATTTAACCTTGCAGGCAAAAGGTAGGGTCCAAATAGTCGATTACGGTAGCTACCAATCCACACGTTCACACTAAATTCATGCTAAAAATTTCTTACCCGAACTGCATGCGGATTTTCATGTGACTAAATATGTTGATTATGAAAATTTACCACTCCACGTCTAGTGAAGCATGACTCATCGGTCCATAAAACTTCAATTTCAAAAATATTTGCAGTCACAGCCTACTTCTAAAAATTATCGAGATACTGACTTTTTAACCTTATTTTATCATAAATAATTAAAAATGCATCGAACCCTAAAAATCGAAATATCTCAAAAAAGGCTAACTATAACGAAAATTTACAAGAGAGCTTTTTTATGTTGAAAAGTACGAACAATCAGTTTTTTAATTCAAAAAGCAAAAAACTGCACTAAGAAAAAAAATTTGGTCATTTTAATACACTACAGGTACAGTAGAGGGCGCCCTCTAGCGGCTACAGTCAAACTATGGTTCGTTGTCGTACCAAAAAACCCTTGTATACCAATTTTCACTGTTATACATGAAATATTGTTCGAAATATTTAAAAAAAACTATTTTAGAAAGTAAATTTAAACACCCTGTATTTCGGAAGCCACGCATTTTTCGACCCATGTTTATATAGACTTTATGCATTAATTTTAAAAGTTCTATCGAATCTTAAAGTTATGCAACAATAAACTGAAACACCCTGTATAAGTCCGTATGATAAATTATTTAGCTATTAAACCATAGCAAGAGGAACGTTACTATGTCACCATTTGCTGTATAGAATGATACTAATATTTTGCATAAAGCCCCAATGCGTTATTATTCATAACAGGGCTTATTTTTAAATGACCCATAACCGTATATAACTGAAAGTTGATTTGGCTGGGAAAAATTTGTGACGCTTATCGCCGCAGAATCTACGTTTAAAGTACATTTTGTATGATGAACCAATTTGAAACCGGAAGCTTTTTAATATGATATTTCATTCAGTTTCAATTTAATCTTTTTAACGTTTATGTTGGGTCACATAAAAGTAATGGTACTGGAATTTATTTTTATAGGTGCAGCTATTAGTGTTTGTTATGTCCTTTAGTAAGTATTTGTATATTTAGTTTTGGATTTGTGTGATGGACACTGTGTGCTTTCATACATAATAGTAACAATTTAAAAAAAAAATAATGAAAAAGATAGTTTTAGAATAATTCGTAAAATAGTTAATGACCCTTTCTGTGAGAAGGAGATTAGAAGGGACTGACGAGAGATCTTGGGAAAACAACAATCGGGTACAGATAATGCCTGCCAAAATACACTGAAATACTTTGACTAACAAGAAGCACCGATTTCGAACCAGCCATTCATTTCGACTGGTCGGAGTGCAGATTATCCAGGAACTTGACTTCCGTCCCGACTACATTGTCCATACTTCTTATTATGTTTCTCTAACAAGGAGCCCCGGGACCCCTTCGCATCCTCGGACGATCGGTGTTCTGGCTTTCTTCTACTGCTACGTCAACTAACTTTGCTCCTCAGGGCC